ATTTTATTTTAATTTTTTTTTAGTAAAGTAATGCTTCATTTATTATTAAATTAAAGTATAATAGAATAGTTAAAATAATATAAAAAGTTAATTTAGATCAATTTTTATTTAATATAAAAAAATTATAGAGATTGATTAAAATTTGAATGATTTTTATATTGAGGTACGAATCTTTTTGCACACTATGATAAAATTTTATCAGTAAACCTTTGTAATCATCTGTGTAATCATCTGTAATTGTAATTGGTGTACATGTATGTAAAAACCTGTAATATAATATCCAAGTAATCTGTAATAACCTGTATAAACCTGTAATATATTCTGTATATACAGTATCTTTAACATTAATAATCTGGGAATTTGATTCAAAAATAAATGTGTATGTAAAAACTTGTATCTTGTAATCCGTACCACCTGGAAATTTAGTGAAAATTATAAAATCACGTGAGATCAAAATTTTCTAATAGATATCGATATATAGTATCAAAATACTATCATTTCACTAGAGAATTTATCACACTGTTTATCACAAAAAACAAACCTGTTGTTATTATGTTTGGGATCTACCCCCCCCCCCCAAAAATTCCAATATCCCGACAATCCAACATCCAGACAATCTAATATCCCGACAATCCAACTTCCCGACAAATCCCCAAACGGAAGTTGGATTGTCAAGAAGTTGGGTTGTCGGAAAGTTAGGTTGTCGGGATGTTAAGTTGTCGGAAGGTTAGTTGGTTGTTGAGATGTTGGATTGTCTGAATGTTGGGTTGTCGGGAGGTTGGAATTTTGGGAAGATTATATACTAACGGGATTGTGTTTGGGTCACGAATGATGTGGTGGCGGCGATAGTGATATAATAGTAACAAAATATATAAAAACCTGCAAGAATATTCGGGTAAATCCAGTGTTGTAATCCAGGGTTTTACAAATCGTAATTTGTAACGGATTACAGGAATTTTCAGGGTTTTTCCCTGTAAAAAATCAGGTGTTTACAGTGATTATTACATATAATTACACAGGTTTTTCTCAGGGATTTATAGTGGTATTTTACTCACAGGGCTGGGATATGCGTTCATCAATGATGATATAAATAAAGTACATGACTTCATTGTTTTTGTTGGCGTTAGTATGATAAATTTTGTGTTCGCTCTAAAGAAGATGAAATAATAACTATATCATGATTACTTTTGAATAATTATTCACGCTTAAATTTTGCAATACATTCCGGCGCTTGTATTATTTCACTGAACTTGTCCAAAATCCATAACGTGATTCCATTAGTCCATCCAAACCCTGTTTGCACTACGTATTCGCCGCCACCTCCAGGAATAGTCAAATTCGTGGCATTATACTCTATTTATAGGAAATATCAAAAATTTACTATTCCAATATTTTCATTTTTAATTGTAAATACGAGATTTCTTACTTTCGAATATATGACCCACGTCATTCATGAAATTCTCTTTTCTCTTTGTAGAAATGTTGTTAGTGTGAATTTCGCCACCAGTTTCTAGCCAAGCACATAAAACTGATGAAACAAGACGTTGTGCTACCGTACGCGCAAGTTCTCTGATTGTATTAATATTATCTTTTTCATTATATAATTTTTCTACGTTCATTAAAGCTTCAATAACAACATATTGTAATGGTGGCCAAGCATTCGGAAAGTCCCATTGTAATCCGGTATCAATTTCTGTGGCAGGAAGTGACCCTGGATACTTTTCAAGTAATTTTTCTATTAATCTAAATGATTCTTTAGCTGCTGTTAAATTGTTTGTAATTTCAGTTGGATAGATGCCTGCCCTTTAAAACAATTATGTTACAAATCAGTATTTTAAGGAAAACGACTGATTACGTAAAATAATGGCAATTTACTTACCAAAATGGAAAAAAAGCAGCCAAAGAAGCAACGGGCGTATGCGTTCCACTCGTCAAATTAAAGTCCCAAAAACTTAATCTTTTTTTATCCCAAAAAATGTCGATCATCCCTTCACGTCTGTCTTTAGCACGCTTTCTAAAAGAATTTGCTAATTTTTTATTTCCAACTTTTGCATTGAAATCCGCCAACACAATCTCATTCATATACAAAATGGAATTCAAATCAATTGGTATCACCGATCTAGTATCTAAATTCTGAAGTAACGCATAATTATTCGGTCTGGTAAAGGAAGTATCTTGAAGGTATTCTGTTAATTTCTCGGCACGAACCCAACGTGATGAAAAGTCCCATCCTGTTTCAGCTACGGTGGCTATATCTGCATATAGATTTTCTCGACCTGTCGCGTTTAGCCAAGTAGCGTTCGTTGCGGTGAAGTAATCTTCGAGAAAACTTTCTGGTCTTGGATCTGAGTTGTGGACTATATATCGATTTAGGGTGTATTTCTTCTTTGAAGGATGATTCTTTGCTACGATTTGAACCGTAGTGTTTTTTTGCCAGAATTCGTATTCTTTTAGTAGCGTCGGTAATGCAGATTTCACCATATCAAAATCATTTGTCGCTTTATAGTAAATTTTAACCATCTGGGTCAAAAGTGGAGGCATCGATCGATTCAAATAATAAATTCTATTACCATTTGCTGAAAAGAGAGTTTACAATTAAGTCATATTCAAATTTTATGATATAAAATTAATTAATAGCAAAAATAATACTTACGCACAAAGCCAATTTCGCCTACTATCTGTAAAAAATTCTCAATAATATCTTTCGCCATACGAAAATATCCACTAACCAGCAACCCTTCCATGATAAAGTAAGAATCCCAATAATAAAATTCCCTAAATCTACCACCCGGAACAATAAATGTATTATTAACTGGATAGATACTGTCAACACAACCCTCGCATAAATTTCTATCCTTTGCAATGCGCCTCGATAAATCCGGCCAGTAACTGTTGATTATACCCGCAAAAGCATGTAATGTATGATCCTTGATTTTTTCGAGAAATTCAGGGGATGGATTAAAGTCAGTAAAATTTGTAAATATGAGCGACCCCTCGGGTGAACTGAAATATGTGTCAACAAAATCACGCAGAGAAGATCGAGTATGGGGAAATGGTAATTCTGAAAAAGCTTGGAGAACTTCGTGAATTGGTTTTTTTGTGGGCTAATTTATTTTACGAATTTTGGTTTGGAATTTTTATTAGTTTCAACTCATTGTTTTTAATTTATTCATGATTTATATTATTACCATGTCTACAAATGTCTTTGAGTCGTTAAATAAATGTGCTAACTGAATTGTCGTCAAAAATTCATCCGGACAATATATGGGTGATTTACAACCAATATCATTATAAGGTGGCTTATCCGAATAATACGCATCAAATCCGAGTAAGATTATAAATACAATAAAGCGTATCAAGATAAATTTAGCAATTTCTTTTGATTTTTCAGAGAATCTCATTTTTTCAATTATGTATTATGAAGTGTTTTTCGTCTAAAAATCTTTTGATTTTCTAATATACATGTACATGTAATTGTATAACGATAGCTTAAATCATGTATGAATCGATAAAATCTGCTTCGTCGTTATTTATAACGATAATTAATTTAATAAGTTACACATGTATTATGCGAGTATCAGATGCCTTATAAATCTCATTCTTATGAATTCATCATTGTTATATAATCTCAAAGAGGGTTTAGTTTTTCAAGCTTTTGCAGTCCTCGAAAGAACAATAAAGCGACGCATCATCATGATGCATTACTCAAATGAAAAAGAACAATGAAAAAGAACAATTATAAAGAACAATGAATGACGCGGGAACCAAGAAAAACTTTATTAATTTTAATACCGATAGGATTTATCTGCATCTTATCGTACCATCTAATCTAAATAAAGTTCATTACGAATCCCCCTTTAGAAACAATTGTAACTATCAATTTCTTCCCGCATATATTTTATTCTCATCCTTACAGAAAAAGACATTATGGCCGAATAACAGTACAACGTGCGATAAATGCTTGTTAATCATATGCAATCACAAGACGGAAGCATACATATATGTACAGGTATAAGACGAACATGTAGAAATGTTATCATGGAACATAGCAGAAATCGGGCGGGAAAATTTCTTGGAACATAGAAAATGTATTACATTGCATGAAGATGTTTTATGATAACGTTGGCTTGACAGACATTTCAGCAGACTCACTTACTCAAAATCAGATAATTTCTATGTAGAGCCTCCAGCGTAACCTGAAATTATCATGATGAAATATTTAATAAATATAATGTTAATAAAGACATGCAGCAATAATATAATTGTGAAAGTGTCATGCATTTAATATTAAAGAAATAGCTTGTGACAAATCGAGAGTTATTTCATAATCATTATATAGTTTATGTAGAAATAATGCGATTAAAATGAAGAATTTACTTGTTATTTTATTTACGTGATAGAAAAATTGATATTTATTAATAATATTTATCTGATAGTATAAATTTCATTTGCTTTAGCATATTATAATCGATGAAATACTCGATTATCATTGTTATCATTTTGAATTAAACATATAGTTTTTATTTAATGATTTCAAAAAAGTAAATAAAGTTATGCAGAGAACATCATACATGCAGATATTGCATGTTGTAAAAGCTAAATATTTATTATTCAATGTAATAGAAAGTTAATACAATTAATTATTTTCTGGATTTTCTTGTTTTCTTTTTATTATTGTTATTATCTTAATTATTATAATTATTTAAGCAAATCTAATATAAAATATATAATAATCTTATTTCAGAATTTTTTTATTCTTTAAGTCGATAAATAGAATCAGAAATATAAATATATTGAAATCAAATGATTAAAATAATTATAAAAAAAATAATTAAATTAAAAAATAAATTCAGTTATAATAATTAAATTGTTATTATTAGATTAAATTTATTCTTTTATAATTTTCTATAAGCTTCAGATCTTTTGAGCTCTGGAAAATTTCTGGAATTAAATAATAAAGTCAGAATTCAACCTTATCAAAACTGAATAAATTCATAAAAATAAAAAATCATATATTAACTTTGTTATATAATTTTTTTAACTTCTGTTAATTCAAATTTAATAATAGTATTATTCATTTTTTCTGATGTTTTTTTATTTTTTTCTTCAAAAAAAACTTTAATTATTATTAAATTAAATAATATTAATTATATATTTGCTAAAGTATAATTTTTTTTCATTAAATTTTATTTGATAGCTTAGATTATATATATATTATTAATATTAATTATATTTTATATTTAACTGTTCTTTTATTATTAATAAAATAATATTCTACATAAATTATAAATTAATTTATTGAAAAATATAATATATATAATAATTATATTCTCACTAACTAATTAATAAGATTATATATAAAATATATTTTAAAAAATAAAAAATTTAATATTATCAAAATACAAATTTCTTTATTTTTAAATCTTTTGTTATAGTATAATTTTGTAATATCTTCTTATAATTATTAATTTTTTATTAGTAAATTTATCATTTTATCAAAAATATTTATAAATTTATTATTATTAATTTCTTATTTATATAATATATTTATTATTTTATAATTAACTAGTTTTTATTTTCTTTTATTAATTATATTTAACAAAATTAAAACTTTTTATTCTAATAAATTTCTTTATTTTAGTTATTTTCAAGATTAATTCCTAAATCAATTCAAAAATATTATCTAAATATATATATAATTAAATCACTAATATATTTTTATTTAAACTATTTAAAATTACTAAAATTATTCAAGAGTTAACTCTAATTATTTTATATTTATATTATTTAAATTAATTATTAATCTTTTATTTTTATTAAAAAATAATTATATTAATAAATTATTTTAGCAAAAATATACTAAAAATAAATATTATTTTTATATATAATAAGATACTTCAAATTAAATAATTATTATATAAATATAATTATATTTATATATATTAAAAATTAAATTTTAACTATTATTAATTTATTTTAATTCTTTTTAAAATCTTTTTACTATATTTAAAAGATTTAATTCTTATAAAATTAAATTAATTTAAAATTAAACTTAGATATTAAGAATCTAAAAAAGATAATTAAAATATAATTAATTATAATTATCTTTATAATTATATTTATTATTATAATTTATATTAATAATATAATTTTAAAATATATTAACTAAGAAAAATATCTCTAGTTTTTCTTGTTATATTAGCTTTAATAAGATTATAATTATAATAAAATCAATAAAAACTTTTTTATATAATTATTATAAATTTTAATAAATTTTTAAAAATATTTTTATTTACAAATATAATAATAATCAAAAGTAATATAATACTTAAATTTTTTACTAATTATAATTAATAAAATATATAATTTTTCTTATATAATTATTAATATTATTTTTATTTTTAGCTTAAAAAATAATTAAAATTTCTAGTTTAATATATATTTTTTTCAAATTTTTTATTAACAACTTGTTTTAATTATATATAAAGTTAATTAATTTTTACTAATTATTAATTAATAAAAATTAATTAATTTCATATATAATTAGAATAAATTATTAATAAAAATCTAAAAAAATATATATTAAACTAATATAATAAATTTAATATTTAATTTATAAATTATTATTATATTATATATTATATATTATATTATAATTATTTTACTTTTATCAAAATAAATCATAAGTAATTTAAGTTATTTTAATTATAAAAATAATTTCAGTAGAAATTTTTTTATTCTTATTTTACTAATATAATTAGATATATTATTTTTTTTATAAAATAGATATAAATATTATAATATATATAAATCTTATAATATAATCAGAAAAATATATGATATTTTACTATTTAATAATTAAAATTATATTAAAATAATATTATTTAATTTATTATAACTATATAAATTAAATAATAATATTTATAATCTTAATTATTAATTATTAAAATATTATATTATACTAAATTATTTATTAATTTATATTAAATATAATATCTTGATATTAAGAAAATAAAATTATATTAAGTTAATATTATTCAATTTACTATAATTAAATAAATCAAATAATATTAGTTTGATATAATTATATCTACTTAATATTAAGATATTATAGCCAAAATTTAGATAATAAATATTATAATATAGTTATCTAAAATAATATATTTTAATTATATTTAATTTTTGTTTTTAAATAATAATTTATAACAAATTTAATTTTTTTTTTTACAGATTATTACTGTATTATATCATATATGATACTATATCACAAAAATCATTTTATAAAGTCACATAGTATATTTAAGTTATTTTAATTAAATAGTTTTTTTAGTAGAATTTCTCTTTTCTCTTGTTTTACTAATTTAACTAATATATTATTATAATTATATATTTTATTTATAATTATTTGTTTCTTTATTTATTTATTAATAAGTATTTTTTGAAGATACTATCATATAAGTATTATTTATTATTAATTTATATTTATTATATTAATAATTCTATGTAACATTAAATTATTATTTAAAGATGCTATTTCTATTCTGCATTTTTAATAATAATTATATAATAAAGAATAAGTTTTTAACATAATAATCTTATCTATTTTGAATTAGTTTTTAATATGAATTCTATTTCAATTAATATCTTGAATCTTCTGTATGAGTTTTTCTGATATATTGTTATGGCGAATCGATAAGTGAGTTTTCACTTTGATTCATCCTAACGATATAGGATTGGAAGAGACTGAAATAATAAAAGGTAATGAGAGGAGAATTAGACTATAACTTTCAATAATAACAAAGATTTCTAAGGCCTGTGCCAATATCTACGGATATTGTCTCAATAAAG